GGTCGAAACGTTGTACATTTGCTGTTATGTTATACTTATATTAAAGTTTTTCTTCATTACCCATTCAAGCCGTCTCCAGCCATTATTTAAATAGTTGTTTTCATCAAGACTGAAACTGGCATCCACCAAGTATTGAAATGTGTCCATGCATGAATAATGTGATATGTACATGACAAAGGTGAATCAGTGTATTACTGTAAGGATGCTAATTATTATTATGTGAACATTTTACTCAATTAAAAGAGAAATGGGGCCAAGGTTGATTCTGGTAGAGCTCTGGATTTCAGAGCTAACGAGCTGGGCTCTAATCCTTACGATACAAACAATTTATTTCTCATGTGCGTAATAAGTGTGGCATTCAATCCTTTAGTGTGGATGGTGGGTAGTAGGGCGCTACTGATTGTGTGCCTTCCCTCTGGTCTGTAGTTTATAATTAGGGATGGCAGCAGAATGGGAAAAAAAAAAGAATTTGTTTGGAAAAAAATAATAATAATTTGACCATCATATGAAGGTAAAGTAATTAAATTGAGATGAAATGTATTAACAAAGAGAAATCTTGTGTGGAAGCTGTCTGGTGATGTACCAGGGCTATCTTGTTTTAGGATTTTTGTCCCATAAAGGTGATGAAAAAACACACACATACACACAGTGAAAAAGGTTAAATTTCCAATTTGTGCAGATTTTTGGCTTTGAATTGAAAGAGACACCAGTTGTGGTATATGTTTCATTTCAAGTAATGCTGAGTCAGCTGAAGCAGCGTTACAGATTTTTAAAATATGATAAGACTAGCACCTCACAGTTGTAACTGATTCTATCTAGGGACTGTCGGGAATAGTCATATTTTAAGAGTGATTTACGGGCAGTATAATGTTATGTCTGTAATACTCTGTGTAAAACCTACTCTTAACACCAACGATGTACGACTGAATACTTATTTAAAACAGTAGAACAATTTACTGCATGGGCAGCCAGCACTCCTTCAAGGCAAAGAAAGACTTTGTGTACTGAAAGATCGTGTAATGTTTGCACCACGTGCTAATATGGAATTTTATTTCTTTATGTAAATAACGTTGTACTTTACCGAAATAATGTTATCGGAAAGAGCGTCTACGTGTTGGTAACAGCGTAATGCATTGGCACGTTCGCCGGTTTAAAACTGATAATTATATCTTCAAGATTTTATTGACATTTGCTACAGTTTGAAGGCAAGTGTCCGATAATATACGACCTCGTTGGTGGGAGCACCAAAATTTAGAATTTTTTATGTATACAAAAATCAGTGGTGTTCGAGGAATATTTTTTTTTGTAGTGTACCATATCACTTTAAAGTTTTAGGTGTTGTATTAGTTTGTTGTAATTGATACTTTTGTTTTTGGTGATACAACCTTCGTAATGTTGATCGAGTTTTTAAAGTCTGCTGGTAACACTGATTCATGCGAAATGTATGAAAAAAACAATGCAAGTGCGTGTTATAAAATCGGTTTTAATGTTATTACAGCAAGACAAGCAATGAAATATTGTTTTCAGAACGTGTCTTTCAATATACGTCGATAATATAAATACAGTAATTTGTTATATACGTGCACACTAAGTAAATTGGAACGCGTAGAAACTGTGTATTGAGAGTTGATAGTTTTTATTGGTAAACCTAATAATAACTTGTCTGGACTTGCTAATCGTATAGTACATGTCATCCGACTCGCTTCGTGAGTTAAGAAGGAAAAGGTGATTATGAAATACTTTACACTATAACAGGGCTGGCGAACCTTTTTGAGAGCGTGTGCCCAAGATGTCGATAATTTTCGGAAAAATTCTTTCGCGTGCCAGTGGAAATTTTGAGCAGCAAAATTACCGTTATTATTATTAATTAAAGACATGTACAATCTCTAGGCCTTCAGATATTTATATATATTGGTGGGGTAAAAAAAACATGGGACAGCAGTGAATTCCGCGTGCCATAGGTGCGCCATCCCTGCACTATAATATTTTCTGACGTAAAAGGCTTACAAATGTAGGAAGGTGAATAATACTTGAGATATTGGTGAGGTGAAACGAGTTCTCACACGTCAAGTGACGTTACAAAATAGTGATTATTTAAACTGTTAATATTGACAGTTTACCTATTTTGTCTTTTAGAGGGTAGCGTTGTGAAGTTGTATACAATTCAGTGCGACTAGAGCAAATGTTTAAGTTTGTATTTGGTTGATACTTAGGAGTATTGTGTTTAGTGGTCATAACAATGACAAATTGTAAACGAAAGCGAGTGAGTTTTCATCTTCCCAAACGTAGATCAATTAATCCTATTGAGGTAGGCCTATTTTTAAGTTGTTAGATCATGAGTGATTTAAGAGATTACTGCTATAAAGGAACCAAAATCATTTATGCATCGGTTATTGACATTTGTATAATGATGAATTGATAGAAACGAATGAAAATTATTTACTAAGTTTATTTTAGGATTTATATAGCAAGTAAGTAATCTTGATAATAAAGTTCTGTGTAGTTGTCACTAACTAAAATTAGTTGTGTTTACAGGTATTTTCAATAATAATTAATACACAAATATTTTCTTCTTCATCCTATGCAGATAGGGCATGGATTGGCACTCTGGTAGAGCTCTGAAGTTTGGAGCTGAATTTAATCACTACCACAATATTTCCTGCAATTTAGGTTATAGGTGCATTATAAGAGTGACAGTAGGATACTGCTAACTGGTTGTAGTCTCTCTGATCAGTAATTTAAAATTAGGGATAGCAGGAGATATACTTAATTGCTTTGCCATAAATACAAACTTACTGTAGTGCCCTATACACCCCAACAATTTACAGCTAAATACACTGATTATCTAACTTTTTTCTTAACAGAATAACATCAACCTAGATTTCTGTGCCCTTTTACTGTTTTGGATCTGTTATGAATGAAGACTTGTGTTCTATAGTAACAAAGAAATAATAAATCTTATTGGATCTGGAAGAATGTTTTATCAAAAATATGTACCAAACACTTCAAGCATTGAGAGTACCAGAAAGAACAGATGAGGTGACAGTTTCATACAGCTAATCTTACATGACTAATAAAGTTTCCTGACAACATTTTTGTGGTCTGTCAGCTTTAGATCTGAACTGTGGAAGTACAGTGTAGATAAAAACAAATACAAGTAAAGGTAACACAGTAAAAAGTAATTGTGTAAGTTAACAGGTTTTAGCAGTGTTTACTGGTTTTCCAGCAAAATAGTTCAATATATTAAAATAAAATTAAAAATGCTTTTAAGTGATGCATATTTTCTACATACTTGTATAGTTATGTCTGAAGTAAAATTTTTCTCCTGGTAAAGAAAAGGTGAAGGTCTGTTTTGAATTATTTTTGTTATATAATTACAGCATAGTATGCAATATTTATTTTCTGTAGGTTTCACCAAATGGCGTTAACCCATCTACATCAGTTGGCACTCATACAGATTTTCCGGTGAGTTGTTCTTTTGTAGGATCTATATAAAAAAAAAGATAATTGTTGGTTCAGTTTAAAATATTTACATGGTAAGGTGCTATGTAAGCTTAATTTTTCTGTTCTTCCTCAATGTTTTAACTGATATTTTAAATATCTGTATGCAGATTGGTTGTCTGTTTCCATTTTTGTCACTGAATTATAAGCTACTTCAAGAGTTAAGATTGTTACACAGAATGCTTATTTTAACATCATTTTGTGGCAAAGAACATTAAGAGGTTTAAAATATAATGTATTATATTGTGTCATGCTTAGATTTAAATTAATTGAGGTAAGTCAACATTCACTTAAGTCACTGTTGTCTATTCTTTGAAAATTAGGCTTTTAAGAAATTGATATGTTCTGATTTTGTTAAAGCCAAATTTTCAAACACATGTACAAAGAACATAGCTTGTCTGGAAACTAAAATTAGGAAACTTGTTCATATTCTAAGGTGGTTATTATGAGCAATCATAAATCATTTTGTAATTTATAAAGAATATCTTGGTTTTATATCTTAGGAGAAAGCTGAGAAACATATAGTAAAACTTCAAATGTTATAGTTTTAATAAAAATGAATAATAATTGAAACAAGTCATATTACCAAATTATTTAAAACATGTAAAGAAGTACTTTGCAAAAGTATAGTTAAAAAATTGAGAGTGCTGCAAAATTCACAGAAATGTTTCATGGAGAATTCCATTTTTTAGCCAGTAGTTTTTATATATATATATTTACTATAAAATTCCTGTTTTGTTTCTTTTAACAGTTCTTCTTGAGCCTTTTATGATTAATTAAATTTAATGTATTATTATGTATTTCTTTATAAGAGGAAATTGCATTGATCAAATTACTGACTTTCTTACTAATTCAATTAATTGTCTATTTAAAAGTTTTTAATTTTCTATCTAGTTGTTGGAAATTAAATATAAAACTACACTTGAATGGGTTTTGTAACTGAAATATATGAAGTATTTAACAGCTGATTCTTACAGTTTTTACAGAAACACCCAATATATTTAATACCTAGCCCCTGAACAGTCTTTTTACAGAAATATAGAATATTTAACAGCTAGCTCCAAACAGTCTTCTTACACAAATATTAAATAATTAACACTTTTGATAAGAGTTTATACACAGGATCACATATAAAAGGTGCAATGAATTTCAAAAAAAGGCACCAAAACTTGAGTACTTTTGAGTAGTTAACTATTCTTCTTTAGGAGAGTAAAAAAGAATAGTCAAGTATTTGAAAGTGTTCAAATTTTGGGTCTTTTTTGAAATTCATTGAAATGTTCAACAGTTATCTCTGAACAGTCTTCTCACAGAAATGCATTAAGTATTCAAAAGCTAGCTTTGAACAGTCTTTTCTGTTGACATTATCACATACTTATTATTTGTGTTACTAACTGTGATTAGTATTGATATATTTTGTCTGAAACCTAACCTGGATTTATGTGTTTCAGAATGGAATAATTCATATGGATTTCCCAGAGATTTCTCATTTACAGCCTGTCTTTACTCAGCAGGAACAATTCCAGCAGACACGTGCCTCTTGTGCTCTGCCTGCTACGTAAGTCTTTATATTAGTTGGTAAAGAAAACTGATTTTAAATTGGAAAAGTTTTAATTAGACCAGGTTATTATACAGCCTTAAAAAGTTTTAACTTGTTTTTTGTATTTTCGAGACCTTAAAGTTGTGGATATGTTGCTGAAGGTCTTGAATGTTCATGTCATGCTCTCAGTAGAGTAACAAAACGTGGTATTAGTAGATGAAAAACATGCATTAAAAGTTGAATAAATAACAGAGGGTATTTGAATGATTCTTTAAGATTTTGTTGTATTATTTTTTGGTCAATTTGCTGTGTAAATAAGTCTTCACATTTTCTAAGCATTAGATAGATGCAGGAACAATGTAAAGCCTATTCCTCACAGTGTTATTATATTAGTAGTTAGCCTATGGAGACTTACACAACCATGTACATACATGTTTTATTCAGAAAAGTGTTAGTGGGACTATTCAGTTGTTTAAATTCTTCACTCCTTTTGTATTTGAGCTGCTACTGGTTCTATTTACAGGGAGGAGAAGAGTATTCAGTGTAATATATCTAAAAGATAAACATATGTTAAAGCTCTGTACTAACAGTAAATGATAATTGTATCTCTTCAGGGATAACTGGCCGGGACAGTATGGTTTTTCTGTGTCTTTTGGCCCCCAGGAAAAACCAACAAAGAGCACGGCCTGGACGGTAAGCTTTCTTGTCTTGTCTTATATTTATTATTAAGAACTCCTGGTCGAAAGTACATCTGAATCAAATTGACTAGAAATACTTTATTAATCAGTACCTGAGAGGAGAGATGGAGAGTAGTGAAGATGTAACACTACAAAGGTAGTGGAGAAAATTGTTGATTACTTTTCCATTAGAAAAAAAATGACTTAGCATTTAAATTTTTTTAAGATTTGAAGAATAAGGACTGTCATTATTTTTATTTATATCCTTTATATTTTTGAAATCAGACTTCAATATGTATGTTATGTATGACTGCACTGAACTGAAAATAAATACTTTTAAACAGAAAAGTTGTGTGAAATAAAAATTGGAGGTCACATAATATAGTCAATAAGGTCAGCTGTTATACAATGTTAAAAAAGCCTGCAAAATATTGCCCAATTTGAGCTCCTGAAAAGTCTTGAATGAAACCCTTTTAGTAGCTTTTCCATTACAGAGAGAATTGAAGTACCTCAGTTGTAGTTCGAGCTGATTAATGGATTTGCTAATTAATTAATTGATGATCTCATTAACCCTTTTTCAAAATTTTATTCAACTACTTTTTGTTTATGTTATACCAATTAGAATAGCATAGAATCTTAGCTAATAATCCATATTTTAGTATACAAGTTTTAAGTTCTTAATTCTACAAGGAAATATTTTTAAAATCTTGAATTTCCACTAGTGTGACCCACATGATACACTTTGTCTTAGCATGTCATCATCCCTATTTTATCCATCAGCCCTTGAATATGTATGAAATTAAATGTATAATACTCTTTATGAAATCATTATTGCTCAAACAAACCATAATTTTTATAGTGTTCAATTTTGTTTGGTTACAGAGCTATCAAGTAGAAAATCAGACCCCTCCTGCTACACCCACCTGTCACATCCTCTTTCACAATTTGTTTATAGTTCTCTCTTACGTTTCATTATATATTATCTATAACCAATAGAAAGTCAAGGTTTTCATCTATCAAATAACGTATCTTATAATGTTGTATTCTGAACATAATATCATCAATTTCACTCACAGTACAAGATTCTTTCACGTGGGAAAGTTAATGACTAGCTTGGATGAATTTGTAACGGCTCTTGTGAGAAAGCCAGGAAAATTTTGAGAGTTAAGTGAATTTGTATGATTTTGCATGTTATTAATCTATCTTCTTTGGTGCATTATTTAATTAAATAAAAATTGTTAAGTGCATTACTATAATTAC